GCACCAAGGGGTGGGGGATTTTCCTCTTTCATCTTTTTCACTGTCTTCCATGAGTAGAATTTCCATAATGATAAATCAGTGGTGAGTGCCACCATCGACTTGACCATACTTTTCCAGTAAAAAGTGTGTGGTCATGGTGTACTGAGGAGGCCCCAGGAGTGTGGGAGGTATTTTGAGTGTTTGAGGCTATTAATGTAAATAGAATCTATTCTTAGCAATCTCCTTATTGAAGAAATGCTCACCTGTCTGGCTTAAGTTCAGCCAGGGATCACCATATATTAAGTTCTCATGGTATAGATAATTTCACGAATGTGTAGCTTGATGGACTTGTCAGGACGAGTCTGATCTCAAGATTGGGTGAGTTATTGGTTGTTTGAACTGGATCAATGAGATCACATAGAGACTCTCAGAAGTCTGCCCGCCCTGTGCTGAATTTGAACTTAAGGCAATTCTAAAGTTTAGGGGGTCTGATGCTACCTGCCCCCACTCTGTATCAGTCTGACAAAAGTTAAGCCCTGTCTGTTTAGCCTCATAGGACTCTCCACAGCTTCTCCCAGAGTGCATTTGCACTACTGAGGATGAGCTAATTATTATTTTTCACATCACAAATCAAATCAGACTGACACAAAACTGAATCATGTCAAAATTACACGCACAGCTTCAAGCCTTTCTTCTCCTGCCAGTGTTACCGAAGAGGTCCATCTTAAAACCCAGACAACAGTGTCAATGACATTGGCTGCTTCTGGCAGTACTTGTGAAGAGTTGTGCCCTCTTCTAAGGGAAAACTCCCCCCAGGGCATGTTGGAGTGAGTTTTGATAGTCATTGCAAGTCTCAGATTGAGTGTGGGAGAAGCGGCCTCATTTTGTGTTCACAGTGGAGTATACAGAGCAGAAGGGTGCTGCAGGAGACCGATGACAGTGGGCCTCTCATAATGCCAGCAGGCTATACATATTAGTAAAAATGCCCGAGACCCCGCCCCCATGCTCTTCTCTCTTTCTCGAAGGGAATGGAATTTAGGGAATTAAGAACTTGCCTGAGAGTCTTGTGATCTCACTTCAAGCACCTTGTTGTGACAAGGGGAAATCCCTTGTCACGTTCAGCCTCATTTCTTTTATCGCCATTGCCAGCTGCTTTATCAGCATGTACACGAGGAAAAAGAATTTCTGCATTTAAAATGACTTCTTTTGAGGTCTTTGAAATACTACATAAATAATACTTGGAAAATAAAGCGAAATAGATTTTGATTTTTTTTGAAACAAAGTATCAGGTGCACTAAGCTGTAGGAAAATTACCTACAGTCTTCATCTTCCTACCCTTGTGCGATACTGAGTTGGCTGTCCTTTGGAATTTCCATTTCTATATATGCCATAAAGGGACATCATTGAAAACAGGCTTTTAGCATTTGCTACCCAACGACAATAGACTATACATTGGAAAGGAGGACTCTCCAGTGCTATGGTAATTAGGAAGGAAGACCCCCTCAATGAATTCCCTATCATCATGGCACTTGAACCACACTTGAGAAATGTCAGAATTCAGGCACCTCCCTATGGAGACATCTGGCTCCCACTGGGCTTTGCCACCTCTCTTTGAGAATGGGTACTAAGAAAAGCAAATTGACCACTGCCAGTACTCCAGGCATTGCGTCACCATCCCAGCTTCAAGAGATAACATTTTAGGAGTTTCCTTTGAGAAATCAGGCTGTGGTTGCAGTAAATATCAGAGACATGAGTGGAGTGATGCTCAAGGCATGTGGTCATCAGACATAGCTAATAGTCTTTCCCACTATGCAGCTTGCAGGAAGCCACTGGACTCACTTCATCTTGCTAATGGTTTTATGATTTTGACTAGGAAGGGGAAATGTGAATTGATGCCAACCCTTCTGGTCTGCTTCTCTGTGAAGGTTACATATAATTAATTTGTCTCACTGGGATTGAGCCCTGAATTCATTATCTTTGGCACTAAATGAGGTAGTAGGGTAACAGATACACAGCTATGCTCTGCAGATTATGGGCTGACTATTAGGGTTTACCTGACCATGCTGAAGTTTCACAGATCACACAATTCAGAGTTGAAAGGGTCCCTTGAGACAGAATCCTTCTCCCTGTCCCCATAGGCTTCCCTTACTTTCTTTTTTGAGATGGTCTTTCTGTGTAGTTCAGGCTAACCTTGAACTCATGGGCTTCCTGTCTCAGGCTCCAAAATGCTGGGATTACAGGTTTGTGTCACTATGTGTGGACTCTTTAACTTTTAAAGGAAAATTCCAGTCCCTTGCCTGAGTCATCCAGGTGGGTGATTGCCATCTAATACAGTCCCTAAACTGCCCAGATTGCTCTCTGTTTGTAAAGCAATGGATGAGTGCTAAACCATCCCGCCCGATATAATCATCTGGAATTTTATCGACTTGATGTTCATGTTGGTTGGCAAATGGCTTCCTTACAATTTAAATATTCTAGGGAGGCCTGACAGTACAGTTGTTCAGAATGAATGTGGATTTGATATGAATTCACGTTTTAACTGATGCCAACTGGCAGAGGATAGGTAACTGTGTGAGTGTGCACAGGGAGGCCTTAGGCCTCTGTAGATTGATGGGGGGCATGCTGGGGTGTCCAACAGGACTACCAGAAGTGGACTTGGGAAGGAACTAAAAACACGCTTTGGTTGTAGTTTTCTGAGCATGTGTGACAACACCATTGTCGCAAGTGAGGGTGGCACACTTGTTTCACATCTAACATGCTGCAGAGAGAGCAGGGTGGCTTTAGTTTTCTATTTCATGGTGCTTTCATTCTAACCCCCTAATTTTACACAGTCACTCTGTTCCTGTTTGACTTTTCTAGTGTTTCTGGCCTAGCTTGAGTTTATATTCAAGGATGCTCTAGAAATTAAATATACCTGCTCCAGGGTACTGAGTGAAAACAGAATCTTACTAACAGCCTCCCTGTTGTCTCTCAGGCACCTTTTATTCCGGGGCATCGTGTCAAGGGATCTGGGAACACTGGTGTGTGTACAACATGGGGAGCCATCTGCTGCTGGGAAGTGTCTACGTCAAATTGTGGGTTCTCTGGGGACTCATTAAAAAAATCGTTAGCTAAAGACAGATTGACAATGCTTCACACAGCTTTGGGAATTTTGTCATGGAAAGACTGGATGTGGAGCATCCTGGCTCGCTGTCTAGAGGGGGGGGGGGGGGGGGGGTTTTTTCTTCTTGCTGTATTACTGGAGAAAACCTATCAAAATACCCCAGCCATTAGAATTGCTTACAGATGCACCCTGTGGATTTGGATGGAAAAGCCCCATATTTTAAAATAATAAAATTGTTCTGCAATTATATGATACTTTACAGTCTTAGGGTTCACGAAATAGTATGTGGAAATGACTGTTTGAAAAGATTGCCTTAAATTGATGAAATAGCTTCTTGGTGCTTAGTATTTGGGACTTTAGAGGCTCTACAGTCTTCTTCCGAGCCAAAAAGGAGCTGGTCAAGATGGTATTCTTGAGACTGTCATTAGACGAGTGTTAGATAAAGGGGAACCATGCCACCAGTGGGAGAGCCAAGAGTCCTGGGTGTGGGTAGCACAACCAACCCCACGGCAGCTGGGGAGTGAGACGGCTGCTTGTGATGTCACAGCTCATGATCACATCCAGGTTGCAGGGTAGGGGCAGTATTGTCTTTTTGTGCATGGAGGTACCACCAGGTCGATTTAGCTCCAGATGGCCAGGACTCAAACACCACTTGATGCAAGGGAGTCCAGTCCTGTCTTCGAAGCAGAATGTACCATTAGAGAAAGTTTGTTCCAGCTCTTCTGGTTTGCTATAATTTAGAGGTGTCACATATTAACAAACTGGTCATTCCTCACAAATTGCCTGTTCCACAGTGGAACAGCCATGACCTTTTTGATTCCTTCGTTATAGACAACAGAATACAAATAATTATACTAGCTTGTGGTTTAATTAGCATGGCTCCTGCAAACCTTAATTGGGCCTGTTCACATTTGAAGTGGAACTTGCTATCCTGGTTAATGAATGCATTAAAGTCCAGTATCTGCATAAATTGCCATAGCCATATGGCTGGCACAATACTTAGTAATCCAGATTCATGGCACCTAGGGGTTACACCAACCTCAATGAAACATCTTGATGTCATCGTAGCTCAGTGTGGAGTTGTTTATTGACTTATCCATGTACACAGGCTCGAAGATTGGACCATCATTTACATGAATATGTAATAATGTAATAATATGTATATTCAGTATGCTAATAGAGACGATTAGAGAAAAGCAGCAAATCTGTATTAGTGGTAGTAAGGCACAACCTGAATCTTTTAAGTTTTTAGAGTGGAAAGGGGCAGGATTTCCCACCCCCATTAATAACAGAGTTAGTTCTTCAGCCATGAGGCACACTGCCTGCTTAGTTGGTTAGAAAATGGAGCTGTTTTCTCAGATACAGACAGCTCCTCTGGCATTAACCTTCAGTGTTTCGCAAAAGTGAGATTCTGGAACCCCTTTGGGCGGTTTGTGAGCTGAAACAAGACTTTTTGACTGTTGTTACTATTTTTGCATCAAAACAATTCTTGCCAAGGCTCAAGAATTGTTATCCACACAGTTCTCACCTGTCTTCCAGCTTCAGGGACACCCGATGGGAAATGTTTGGGGCAGTTATGGAAAAGGAGTTACCAATGAATCCTTAGATATTCAGAACCAATTCGAGGGCCAGGCAATTGCCTTAAGGAAACTGAAAAGTTGTCTGGAATTGGCATAGAACACAATGGATCTCCTACACTCAGAAGTGACACTTTTGAAGAAGATGAAATGGCAAGGTGGGAAGAAAGGCGCGCGCGCGCGCGCGCGCACACACACACACACACACACACACACACACACACACACACACACACACAGTCTTTACACTTGGGAATGCTTTACCTAGCAAGTAACAAAACTGTTTTCCCCCAAAGAGATGCTTGTCATAGCTACCACCAGGACCAAACTGGACATGAGAATACAGTAAATACAGTAGTGGAGAAAAGGGAAATGAACATACAGATAAACTCGGTATTGCATAAGCATGTGTATAAAATTTAATGGGTTCCCGATTCCATTTCATAGAAATAAATTTCATCTGTGAAAACCAGGTTCAGAACGCCCACTGAAACACAGCATCAACCTCAACTGTCCAAGCAACCCTTAATTCCTTTCCTCACTGCCACCTGGAGGAAAAATGCTTTTTGTAATCTGCATCTGAGATACTATATAAGTTATGCTATGACTATATGATCACATTTGTGTTCCCAGCACACCAGGATCTCATGGCTAAGGGAGAGAAAGCTTGGGGGGCGGTTGGGGAAGGATAGGCCAGGTCTAGGCCACTGGAAGGGCACTGGAATGGCCTAAAGAGTCACCAAGGGGAGGAACTCTGGTATGGGAAGGCTTGGGCCTCAGATGTATTGACATGTATGGCCACAAATGGGTATCTTTCTATATGTCTATGTATCACTGCTACTTAATTTTTTCTTAAGTGATCAGATCTGAGTTAATGGAAAGTTTAGATACAAGTAATTTCAATCTTGAGTTTTAAATCCAGTAGGAAACCTCACACTCAGTACTTTTACTTTTAGTAGGAAGATTTTCTTAAGGCATGAGGTATGTTGAAAGGGCGTTTGAATTGCTGGATCTCTACTGGTGTTTCATTGTACACAAAGCACTTGCGATGTATGCATTTTGCTTGGATGAATATATACACGTTTGTCACTACACTACAAACTAGTCACGACATTTTTTTTTTTTTTACAATAGGCAATGAGCTAGAACAATTAAAAGCCTCTAACCACTACCCACAGCGATGTTAGCTTATGATTTTTCTTTTCCAAGTAAATAACATCTCTCCCCATGCTGAGTCATTGCAATTAATGCCTTCATTTCTGTTCCCTCGCCCCTCGAATGGGCCATGTCCACAAGGCAAGGAAACATCCACGACTTTCCCTGTGAGACACGGAAGCAGCTATTTCTGACTACACCGAAGCAGAGAGCACACAAAATTGGAAAGAAGCCTTAGGGGACTGTACAGCGGACCATGCACGAAAACTTTACGCAACCAATCTGGGCCTTGTACTGATCACTTTTTTTAAAGTGGCATTTTCTTCTTTTGAAAGGATAGATGAACCCATGCTCAAAAATCTTTCTAATGCATTTTGAAAATACAGGTTTTCCCTATTATTATTATTTCTTAAATGTGGCACTTCAAAACAAATTGGCACAAAATGAAAGTGATATTTGGTCTCTGGTTTGGGGTGGAGCCATACAGTCAGTCTGTCTTCCTCTGGGAGGGCTCCTGCTCAGCCAGGGGGAGAAGCTAGTTTGGTACAGGGCTCAGGGCCCCGGCTGGGTGACCTTGTTCTTGCTTTTCAGCACGGTGTCCCCGGGGGCAGCGGTGGCTTCCATGGGGAGACCCTGCTGCTGGTCGCCGTAGTTGACGTTCCCGC